TGTCAGAGAAGCTGAAGGAAGTCCAAAAAACAGAGAATTTGTTTGTTAAAAATTGGAGAAAATTGTATATTTGTGTTGTAAAATAATATATATATATATATATATATATATATATATAGCAGCTGTAGACACTCAGTGCAGTTCAGCATTTTCATTTAGACCTCATTTAGCTCTGTATATAGTTGTGTATTATAGTTGTAGATAGAATAAAGAAGATATTCTACAGAGCTGCTCTCCGAGTCGTTTATGCTCTGCTATACTCTGCTATACTCTGCTGTGCAACGACTGTCTTCTAGAAGTGAATCCGGTGCTCACAACTCTAAGCTGTGAGTCCACAGCACTTTGACCAGTTCCTGTGCAGAAGGTGGTCTCTGGAAGTGCTACCCCAGCTCGCCTGGCCCAGTCGGGGCTGAAGTGGATGAGTCCAGTTGGTGGCACTGGCTCAAGGGCGATGCTGACATAGGATGCTATAAAAGTGGCGCCCTCTGGAGACAGGCTTTCAACCCCTGAAACGCCACCTCTGCCTCCTTGTCCCAGGAGAATGGTGTCTTGGGGCACAGCAGTCGGGTTAACGGGGTGGCGGGATGAGCATAGTCCACAATGAAGGTCCAGTAATAGTTGGCGAACCCCAGGAACCGCTGTAGGTCCTTGCGGTTCTGGGGTGCTGCCCATTCCCGAACTGCTGCCACCTTCCCGGGATCCATCTGCACCCCATCAGTGAAGAGCTGGTGACCAAGGAAGTCCACTGACCGCTGGTGGAACTTTCACTTGCTGAGCTTAGCATACAGGCATTGCTCCCGCAAGCGCTGCAACATGGACCGGACATGACCCTCGTGGCGAGCTGGGTCATGGGAGTAAATCAGAATGTCATCTAGGTACACCACCACGTACTTGTCTAGCAAGTCCTGGAACACGTGGTTGATGTACTGTTGGAACAGGGAAGGTGCATTGCACAACCCGAAATGAATTACCAGGTATTTGAACTGCCCATACCGGGTCCCAAATGCTGTCTTCCACTCATCCCTGGCTCGGATCCGAATCAAATTGTAGGCCCCCCGAAGGTCCATCTTGGTGAACATCTGCACCCCTTGCACCCGTTCCAGCAACTCTGCAATAAGGGGCAAGGGATACCGGGCTGGGATGGTAATCTTATTCAGGGCCTGGTAATCATGGCAGGGACAAAGCTCCCTACACTTCTTAACGAAGAGAACTGGAGCGGCAGTGGGTGTGGTAGAGGGCCGAATGAACCCGCGCTCCAGGTTCTTGCGAAGGAAGTCCTGCAAGGCTTAGTGTTCTGGCTCCGTAAGAGAGTATAGGCAGCTCACAGGCAGGGGCACCCCGGGCTGGAGGTCTATGCTGCAGTCGAAAGACCAATGAGGCGGCAGTTGGTCTGCCCCCTGTTCCTCAAACACTTCTTGGTAGTCCTGGTAAACAGCGGGGAGCGTTTACGCAGCTTCCCCTGTGGGGGCAGCCGCTAGCATTCCGAGCATGGGGACACGGGTCTGGGAAGCGCACAGTCTGATTGACCCAGTCGATCTGAACATTGTGAGATTCCAGCCAGTCCATCCCGAGCACCAGGGGAAACCGGGGCATGGTGACAGTGTCCAAGGTGCGCACCTCCCGGTGCTGCTGGTGACACAGGACCAAGGGCTGAGTCTCCTGAGTAACGGCCCCTGAGCGCAGGAGCTATCCATCAATTGCCTCCACCCGTACCGGTTCTGGCTTGTCCTGGTGTGGCACCTGATGACAGGCGGCAAAGGCAGAGTCCATATAGGAGCGGGTTGCCCCTGAATCTACCAGAGTGTGGGTGAAAATCCAGGGCCCGCCAGGGGAATATAGACGCACCAGAACTATGAGGTGTTGCAATTCCACCCGTGAGGGCCCATCATGCGATGTTTCGGACCCCAAGTTGCCTGGGCCATCGGCTACTAGGGTTGGCCATTTCCCTGTGGCCGGCATTTTCTCGGGACAGGATTACGCATAGTGTCCACTCCCACCGCAGTAGAGACACAGGTTTGCCTCCAGACGCCGAGTCTTCTCCAAGGGGGAGAGGCGAGGCCGTGCTGCCCCAAGCTGCATTGGCTCCTCCAGCGACTTCGCTGTGGCCGTGGAACTGCTGGGAAGGACTGGAGCCGGGAGTGCTGGCCGCTCTGAGCCTGGAGACGGTCCTCCAACCGATCGTCTTATCTGCAGGCTCCGTTGAATGAGGGTGTCCAGCGTGGTGGGGCGATCCATCATGGCCAGCTGGTCCAGTATCTCATCTGAAAGCCCCTCGAGATACTGGTCCTGAAGGTTGCAGTCATTCCAGGACAAGTCCTGTGCAAACAACCAAAATTCTGGGGCGTAGGCGGCCACTGTGGACTTGCCCTGTTTCAACCTCCGAATCGCCCGATTGGCTTGACTCCCCTTCTGAGGGTTGCTGAACGCGGTTTCCAGATGGTTGCAAAACCCAGTATAGTCTGTCAGCAAGGGAGAGTCTTGCTGGAGCAGCGGCAATGCCCACTTGGCCGCCCGGTCCTTCAGCAAGCTGTTCAGGAAGTGCACCTTGGTGCAGTCATCGGGAAAATTCCGGGATCGCCCCTGAATATACAGCTTGGCTTGGGCAAGAAACATGGGAAAGCTGGCCGGGGACCCATTGAATTTCTCTGGCAGGGCCACTGGGTACTTGCCAGAAGCTGGGGCGTCAGCTCCAGGAGCTGGTAACGTGTCCAAACGCTGCTGAAGCGCTGTAACTGCATTGCTTAGCTGCTGAACGGTGTGGGTCAAAACCTGGTTTTCCTGAGCCAATGCCACCAGTGCAGCCGCCTGGTCAGCCATGGCTTCTGGTTCCTCCCGAACGCACCCCAACGAAGGGGGAGTGCAGGTGTGGCGGGAGCAAACTGTGCTGGTCCCGTGGGTTACCCGAGAGGCTAGGTCCAAGTCCGGTCCGTGGTGAAAGGTGCAACGTGGAGGCAGTCCGTAGTAGCTGAAGCTGGGTGCAGGGCAGGGAGTTGGGTGAAGTCAGGAACAGGCTTGCAAGCAGGGAGCCAGGGCGGGTCAGGAGCTCAGGCAGGAACTAGCAACCAACAATGTTGCTCCCGCAACTTGGGACTGGGGCTTTCCGGCTTTTATCCTCCCTGAGGCATAGGGCGGCCCCGATCCTCTGGTGACTCGCCTCTCTAACCCTGACCCTCTGCAGCTCAGGAGAGGCTGGATCTTCCTCCAGCAGCTGATCTTCATCCAGCAGCTGAAAGGCAAAAGTCAGGCTGTCAGTTCCTCACAAAGGGAGGGCTTCTCCACTTCCGAGAGGGCAGAGTGGGGGGCAAGGAGGGCAGGTCTGAGTCCCTGCTCTGGTTCTCTCCAATACTCACCCCCAGGGGAGAGATGTGCAACCGCAGCACATCTGCAAAGAGAAGGACATGGGGACAGGTGAGTCTGTCCCTGAGCACCTGGCAAGGCTATTCCAAGAGTTTTCTCCTGGATTCCAAGTCCTACTGCAGGGGAGGAGGGACATCCCAAGCCTTGGGGGCCAATCCTGGCCTCCTTCAACCAGAATGTGGCTCCCCAGGCCAGGGGTAGGCAAGCTTCTCAATCCGGCCTGCGGACAATTCGGGAATCAGTGTGTTTTTACATGAGTAGAATGTGTCCTTTTATTTAAAATGCCTCCCTGGGTTATTTGTGGGGCATAGGAATTTGTTCATCCCCCCCCCCAAATATAGTCTGGCCCCCCACATGGTCTGAGGGACGGTGGACCGCCTCATGGCTGAAAAAGGTTGCTGACCCCTGCCCCAGGCTAAGAAGATGGTCAATCTCCGGTTCCACTCCACCCTTTTAAAATTAAAATAACAAAATAGATCCCATCTCTCAGAGCATGTAAACCACATGAGTGAAAAGACCCCTGTGCCACTTACAGAAATAGGACTATACTTCCTTCTACCACTTTTAAAGTAAACGTCTACGTAATGAAACCGAATCGACCGAAGTCTGCCTTCCTCCACTAACCTGAACTTCGCTCTTCAAGCCAAACGACAACACTGCCCTGTCCCCGGGCGAAACCCCCTGGCCTTCCATTGGTAGGGCTGCCACCACGCTAGTGGCGTTTACATCAGCTCAGCATGGGGACTGACTGAGCGGGCAGCGAGATGCTTTCAGCCTCGGACACTTGGCGGGTTCTGAAATGGCCGTGCAGGCCAGATTAACGACCCTGGCGGGCTGGATTTGGCCCAGGGAACATAGTTTGAGGACCCCTGGCCTACACTGACTGGCAGCAGCTCCCCAGAGTTTCATGCAGGGATTTCGTCCAGCCCTTGCAGGAGATATCAGGGGTTGACCCTGGGACATTCTGCATGCCAAGCAGATGCTCCAGGGCTCCCCATATTTCCCTAGTCTTTCAACGTTATGCTACTAGCAACCGTGGAGATTCCACCTCCCTCTTTCGAAAGGAGAAAACTCACCTGATCAATTGAATAAATAATAATAATAATAATAATAATAATAATAATAATAATTTATTTATACCCCGCCCATCTGGCTGGGTTTCCCCAGCCACTCTGGGCGGCTTCCAATCAAACACTAAAATACAATAACCTATTAAACATTAAAAATTAATAAAACATTAAACTAGACCCGGCCCCCTCTTGCTTCGGGTTGGACTAGATGACCCTGGGATCCCCTCCTATCTCTCCACTCCTGAATTCTAGGAGGAGCTTCCTTGCCTCCTGCAAAGCCCTTTTCCCTGCAAGCTCTTCCTCTGGTTTCTGGCCAAGGGAGGGAGATGCTCAGAGTCCAGCCAAGAGCCTCACCCCCAAAAGGATATCTGGGCATTGGCGTAGCCGGGGGGGGCAGCTGCCCCCCTAAATCCATAAAAAAAAATAATAATCTGAGGATCTGCCAAGCGAGAGAGGGCTGAGCTGGAGGGACTCGGCTTGGCAAGGGTTAAAGGGAAGTGAGCTGCCTTCCTAGAGAGGACAGGAAGCAAGAGGGGGCTGGTCCTCCAGAGCCAAGGCCCCTCCCTCCCCGATCCTTTCCTGCTTTGGTGTCTCTCCTGCAAGGGCTGCCTCGCTGTCCCTCCTGGGATCTGGTGAGTCCATAGCTGTCAACTTTCAGCCTTGAAAATAAGGGATCAGCAGCCTCACCTATCTACCAATCCGGGATAGCAGCAGGAAGCAGCGGGAAACGGCGCTGCAATAAGGGAATTTCCCGCAAAAAAAGGGAAGGTTGACAGCTAAGGGTGAGTCTCCTCTCTCTCCCCCCAGAGGGTGCAGCAGGGGAGGGTGCCTGGGGGGCCTGATCTGCTCATGTGGGGGGGGGGACCCCAAGTCAGGGAGGAGAGGGTCCTGCCAGGGAGGGGCCAGGTCTGCCACGCTCTCCTTCCTGCAGATCAGAGGATCCCTGACTCCCACGAAATCTCCCTTCTTTAAACAAAGGAGTCCCTGGGACTTTAACTCTGTGTGACGTCGCTCAGCCTCATTGCACAACCGAGGAAACATCTGCAAATGGTTTTCCAAAGCTGGAGGAGGAGGTGAGCACTAGCCCCCCGGAAAAAAAACAAACCACGGGGAGGGAGGAAGGAAAAGTAGGAAAGAGAGGCCAGGAATAAAGAGAGGGATCCCAGGCCATAGTCTGGCTGCTGCATTGCAAACCAGTTTGTGTTAAGCTATCTAATAGAATAATAATAAATCCAAAAATCAAGGGAGATGTCTTTGGCCCCGCCCACTTGGCCCTCAGGGGGTTGGTCAGATACATTCCTGGCCCTCAGAAGAGAGAAAAAGAGATCTCACCCCACGAATCTGTCTGGACAGCGGCAGAGATTGCAGAAAAGGGGACAGAAGCAGGGAGTGGAGGTGGGGTGAGGGTGGGGCTGAAGAAGAAGAAGAAGAGTTTGGATTTGATATCCCGCTTTATCACTACCCTAAGGAGTCTCAAAGCGGCTAACATTCTCCTTTCCCTTCCTCCCCCACAACAAACACTCTGTGAGGTGAGTGGGGCTGAGAGACTTCAGAGAAGTGTGACTGGCCCAAGGTCACCCAGCAGCTGCATGTGGAGGAGCGGAGACGTGAACCCGGTTCCCCAGATTACGGATCTACCGCTCTTAACCACTACACCACACTGGCTCTCAACTCCCGAGGACCCCCAGGTCAGGACCCCCACTAGAGAAAAGCATCCATTTATCACAAGATACAAATGACTCCCTTGTCATTCGGTTCTGGCTTCATGCATTGACTGGAAGGATGGAGAAACCAGGATGATTAATCTGACAGAAATCCCTTCAGTTGCCTCCACATTCTGCATTGCTAGAAGGCTAGAGATTTATTTCTTCTCCTCTTCCTCCTCCTCTTTCTTTTCAAAAAGATATCTCATGGTCTGGGATGCGGCGCACTTCAGCCCTGGTTCCCAGCAAGACTCATCCATACTTGCTCAGGGAACCATTTCCCCCCCGTCCTACAAATTCTGTAACAGAACAATGTATTTGCTTTGTAGGATTTGCTGCAGCTTCTCATTTAGACGGACAGAACTTGGCAGAAGACCAAAGGGTTCCTTCTGATCTCTCAGAGGCTTCCTGAGAGCACAGATGGATGAGCAAGACTCAGCTGGCCCTGGAACAGGAAGAGGCCATGCCAACCAAACTGGGAGCAGTGGGGGGTTTTGGGAAAACTCGGTGCAGAAGATCCATGGTGAGGTGGACACCCTCCGCTCAGAGGTGCAGAGCCAGCAGTTGAGGCAGTTCTGCTGCCAGGAGGCCAAAGGACCCCGAGAGGTTTGCAGCCGACTCTACCACCTTTGACCATCAGTGGCTGAAGCCAGAAAGGCACACGAAAGCTGAGATGCTGGACCTGGTGATCTTGGAGCAGTTCCTGGCTGTCCTCCCCCGGAGATGGAGAGCTGGGTGAGGGACTGTGGAGCGGAGACCAGTTCGCAGGCGGTGGCCCTGGCCGAAGGTTTCCTCCTGAGTCAGGCACAGGAGAGGAAGCAGGAACAGAGTAAACAGGTGAGAGAGACTTTCCTCTGGATACTCCCAAGGGGTTCCAAACAGGACAGAAAACATCCCATAATGGTCTGCTGATGGCCCATCTTTTTCTGGGAAAGAATCGATGGAATGAGATCTCGCACCCTTCAAGTCTTTGTCATTCTCTTTCTAGTATTTCTTCCCATTCTCTGTTTTGAATCCTTGTTTCTTTCTCAGGGAAAGGATCTCTTTGCAGAAATGGACCTGGATTCCTGTGAGGCAGAGAGGCCTCCGTTGGACACCAGAGAGAGGCCACTGGGTAAGGAGGAAGGTGGTTTTTCTCCACTGGTCTCATTCTCTTGGTTTTCCAACTCATCTGAGGATTCCTTTCATCTTGTTTTGGGGGGAGACAGTTGGGAACAAGGGTCCAGAGGAGGGGAGATGTATTTCTGCACAAACAAACATATGAAATGGGCAGAAACCTCCAAATGCACTCAGCGGGTGAGGCTTTCTCAAAGGCCCATCTGTAGTTAGAGATGCCCTGTTTCACCTGTGAGAGAAGCAGGCACTCCTGGCGTCCTGCTTACCTTTTTTCTCTTGCAGGTGGCAGAAGGATGCCGGCAAGACCTCCTGATCCGCCTTTTCATGGGGGCAGAAGGGAAGCAGCGGCTGTGGAACCAGATCAGGTCAGGGGAAGCTGCCTTGTGGGGACAGAGGCCGAGGGATGGAGCAATGTCATGGACTGGTTGGGCACAGAGGAGTGGTGGGAGGAAGCAGCTGGGGAACCAGGAAAGGAAGACGGCTCAGAGCCCAAGGATTGGAGGTGGAGGAAGGATGAGCGGTCAGAGGAAGAATAGGGAAAAGACTGGGAAGAGGAGATATCAGAAGCCGAAGAAGTAACAGGGTTTAGTGAGCTGGGAGATTCTGTGGCAGAATGCAGCGCAGAATCAGAGGCAGAAGAGGAAGGAGGCGAGTGGGAGAGGAAGGTCGAGAGGCTGAGGTGAGTCAGGATAAGGAGGAGCCACCGGTTTTTAACCCTCTCCTTTTGCCAGAAGCCACCCTCCCTGCTTGTCTCTCAGAGCCAGGAGACCCCCTGCAATGCAGGAATCTCTGCTAGATCATCCAAGACAGATGACCATCCAAAAGAGGCTTATTTTATTTCTAGATTGATAACTGAATGCAAAAATTGGTTTCTAAGCAGTGGACAAATGAGAACAAATAGTGGCCTGGATTCACCTAACCAGCCCCATCGGCTGCAAAATGGGGCCTGCCCCCCCATTCCTCCCCCTCTCCATGCCCCCATGACCCCCTTGGATTTGACTCTAGGGCATTGGGAGGGAACTCCCCAGAACGGCTCACAAGGAGAGGAGAAAGTGGATCCTTCCATTGGGGAAACTGGAATGCTTGCGTAGGCAGAATGACTTGAAAAACACAATGTGGAGTACCACCTCTTTGCGCAGAAACGAATACCCATAATTAAAATGCAGATTAAAATAAGCATCCATAATTAAAATGTGCAGCAAAGCAATCGTATTAAAACAACACCACAATGTACAGGAAGGAAACAACAGAGCATTGTGGAGCAGATCATATTTCTGCTGTCTCAGAGGAGGACATTTCCCTTTTTCTTTTAGGGTCCAGTGTGCTTTGAAGATGTCGCTGTTCGTTTCACGGACGAGGAGTGGGCGTTGCTGGATCCTGACCAGAGAGCTCTGCATAAGGACGTCATGGAGGAGAATCGTGGGATCGTGGCCTCTCTTGGTAAGGCTCCCTGTGGGATCGTCATATCTGCCTGGAAATTCCAAAAATACCTCTATGGACCAACCTCATAAATTTTCACAGAGCTCAACAGCGCCCCTATAACACCCCCACAATAAACAGTAACTTACAGTTTTTTCTTTGAACAATCTTCCTCAAATTATCCCTTTTTCTACCATGATTGGGCTGGTCTGAACTGCCCAGGCCATCTTAAATGTCAGCTTCAGAATTGTTAGGAAAGATAAGTAGCTTCAGGTTTTCTGTTTTTGTTTTTGCTCCTGTCAGTCTTGGGTTGACCAAAGAGACGACTGACATTGGAGATGGAGGGGATGCCATGACTGGGCCAAACAAAATTTATCCCAGAGAAGAGCTAGGCTTATTGAATTTCAGGTAGAAGTAGCAGTGGTGGTGATGATGATGATGATGATGATGATGATACAGTGGTACCTCGGTTTACAAACTTAATCTTTTCCGGAACAGGACTGTTCTTAAATCAAGGTACCACTGTAGTAATAATAATAATTTATATTTATACCCTGCCCATCTGGCTGCGTTCCCCCAGCCACTCTGGGCAGCTTCCAACACACATATAATCATGAAACATAAATAATAATAATCTGATCCCATATAAAGAAAACATTAACTTTAAAATGAACAACTTCTCCTAGTGGCCGAAATTGTGGAAACCTTTTGTGAAAAGTGTATTTCTGAGGTTTGATGGCTCATAACACTACTTTTGTGTGGAGTAATACCATAAAATTATATAGTAATGGAAAGATAATGAAGGATGTAATGCAATGAATTTTATGAAGGAGTATTTATTAGAACAGCAGTCATAAAGAAAAAACGTGAAACCTTTGGTAACCATTGGTAACGTTTAGCTTTAATTACGGCCTTACAACGCCTTCCCATGAAGTGAACCAAGTTTTTAGTTCTGCAGCTGTAATAATGTGAAACCAAGACTGAATTATTGCCTCTGTTAATTGGGCTTTATTGCTGGGTTGCTTCTGAATAACAAATTTCTTTAGTCGGCTCCAAAGATTTCTGATTGGGTTAAAGTGTGGGCTATTCCCAGGCCATTCCAGCAGTGAAATATCATTATCTTGAATGCACCTTTTGCACACAGCAGCAACACGACATAGAGCTGAATCCTGTTGAAAATATATAAATGCTTCAGTATCTGGGAAAAGATCACCTGCGGAACACTTCAGTTTGGGCTCACGTTTTTCATTTATGGATTTTTCCGCATTTATATTCCCATTAATGACGCAAATTCTGCCCACACCTTTTGCTGCCATACAACCCCAGATCATCACACTGTCTGGGTGTTTCACAGTCAGTGTAATGCAAGTAGGATGTAAATCTTCTCTGATTCTTCTCCAATTAAAGAAACTTGCATATTTCGTACCATCACTACCAAGCAAGGTAGTGTCCCATTGTTCCACTGTCCAGTTAACATGGGTTTAATCTTTTCAACCTATGCTTGAGAGATAACAATGGCTTTTTCCTTAGAATTCTAACATTTAGACCAGTCCTTGCACTCAACTTCCCATTACATTGTGCCATGTCATCTTGTATACACCCAGATTATTTTCTTCTGTCTTGTAGGCAAAGTCTCTCCACTCGTCCATCGTCACTTGCCTTTGTACACCTTTCCCTGCCTTAACAAGTCTGATTTTGTAGTGACTAAGTCTCCTTATACCTCTTCAAAAATATAGAAAGGCCAACTTTGGTTAAGTTTTCCCCAATCTCTCTTCTACTAATTTCTTCATAACTGTAGCCTTGTTCACTTAATAGTACAATCTTACATCACTTTCTGGGGACCATTCAACTCTTTGTGCCATTTCTATAATTTTATTATGTTTTACACCCTCACTAAATGAAAGAACACAAAAAAACCAACCTACTTGATAGCAATCACATAACACACTGACAAAAGTCAACCTAAGCAAGTTGTGCTTCCTTTTTCTGGTTATTTGGCTATAACATTTGATTAAATACAGGTAATTGAACAAACTTTGTTGGATTGCATTCTTGATTGCATTCTTGATCAAATTATCTTTCCATTGATATATAATTTTATGACATTACTCCAAATGAAGTGGTGTTATAAGCCATCAAACCTCTGAAATACACTTTTTTCCAAAAATCGTCCACAATTTTCACCCCTACTTTATATAAACAAAGCAACATTCAACAGCTCATCCGAATCTCATATTAAACAAACAACATAGGTAATGAACACACACGCAACTCCCTTCAGTTCTTCTCCATTTGTTCCTGAGGCTCTAATCCCTTTTTGTCTCCGATGCAGATTGTGATGAATTGGAAATTGAGAACAAAGGTGACCACGAAAAAATCCCCAGAGAGGAGAAACCACACAAAAATTGGAGTGTGGAGAAAGCTGCAGTCAGAGCTCCAATTCCACTTCCCATCAACAAAATCTCATTGGAAAGATACTCTATCAGTGCATGGAATGTGGAAAGAGCTTCACTCATAGCTCCTCTCTCACTTGCCATCAAAGAATTCATACAGGGAAGAAACCCTATCAGTGTGTGGAATGTGGAAAGAGCTTCACTCATAGCTCCAATCTCACTTGCCATCAAAGAATTCATACAGGGAAGAAACCCTATCAGTGTGTGGAATGTGGAAAGAGCTTCACTGTTAGCTCTAAACTCACTTACCATCACAGAATTCATACAGGGGAGAAACCCTATCAGTGTGTGGAATGTGGAAAGAGCTTCAGTACCAGCTCCAATCTCACTTCCCATCAAAGAATTCATACAGGGGAGAAACCGTATCAGTGTTTGGAATGTGGAAAGAGCTTCACTGATAGCTCCTCTCTCACTTGCCATCAAAGAATTCATACAGGGGGAAACCCTATCAGTGTGTGGAATGTGGAAGGAGCTTCAGTCAGAGCTCCTCTCTCACTTCCCATCACAGAATTCATACAGGGAGAAACCCTATTAGTGTGTGGAATGTGGAAAGAGTTTCAGGAAGAGCTCCTCTCTCACTTCCCATCAAAGAATCCGTACAAAGGTCAGAAAAACCATTATACAGCTTTAGGAGCCAGGCAAATCCACACCTTTTAACCAGGCCTTTTTCTTATTGACATCTAATGCTATTTTAACATGTGATGTTTTGTGTTTTTATGTTGTGTTTTTATGTTCCAAGCATCCTGAGACGTGTGGGTGTAGGGAATACAGCCACTCTTAAATTCCTAGGGGTCTTTGCCCCCCCATAAAATATTTGAGGAGGCCACGCCCTAGGTTTTCTTTGTGTTTTTTTCAAATGCAACCTTTTATTCTTCCGCTACTTGCCATACAATTTTGCTTTAAATTTGCCCTTTTAAGACATTTTAAAAACCGCACAAAGGTCATGAGAAAAACAAAATACAAGAAAATACAAATGTGGACAGGTCCCAACGCAAAAGTTGCTTTAAAGGAGGCTTTCCCAAACTTGGGTCCCCTGCAGCTCCCGGGACTTCAGTTTCCATCATCCCTCCCCATTGGTCCTGCTAGCTAGGGATGATGGGAGGTGTAGTCCAAAACCAGCTTTCTGCACCACCTAGAGTACCCATACAATTTTGGCTTCTATTGGCAACACACATAGGAGAACAAATGAAAGACAAACTTGGAAAGGGCCATACCAAATGGACATCTGGTGTGAAGAGGTCACTATCCCCACTGCTGAACAATGCCACAGGTAGAGGAGATGGAAGGCTAGAAGTGTTCTCCGGGGCAAGGGGAGCTGCTGGGAAATTGAGCTACCGGCTCAAAATATTACTTTTTTAAAAAGTCGCTGCCATTATAGACCTTGCCATTCAAATGGTGTGCATGCATCATGTGACTGATAGTGCAAGGCGGGACTTACCTGACCCTCCACCAATATTTTATTCAAGTCGGCACCACTGGGTCGGGCGGTTTACAAATTAAATAAATACATAAATCGCCTCCCTTTGCACATGTTCCAGCTTGTCTATATCCTCATTTATCCTTTTTAAAATTTATCTGAAGATTTTACAATATAAACATACAGGATGAAAGCATGGCTTTCTCAAAAACCAGCCAAGCCAGAGAAATCTCTCCTTTTCTTTTCTTTTTTTGGATGGAGTTATAAACTTTGTTGATCAGTGGACTGCTGTGGAAATTGTGTATTTTGATTTCAGTAAGGCTTTTGACAAAGTCCTCTGTGATATTTATGTGAGGATGCTGGTAAAATGAGACTGAATGAGGTAACTGTTAGGTGGATTTGACGGACCGAACCCAAAGAAGACTCCTTCATGGTTCCTCCTCATCCTGGGGAAAAGTGACAAGAGGGGTGCTGCAGGGTTCTGTCCTGGGCCCGTTGTTGTTCAATGTCTTGATAAATGACATGGATGAAGGAACTGAGGGGATGCTCATCACATTTGCAGACGAGACCAGACGGATCATAATGGCATCCTCTCTCTTCTTCAGCAACAGACAGGGAGACAAAGAACAGTGCAAAAGCACAGCAGAGCGGAAGAGATAAGACTGACTTCCGTTCTTACACTTCCCAATCCTAGGAAAGTAAACAGGGACATGTGACATACAAGCCACATATTCAACAACGGGAGGAGTGAATTGCTAACACACCACACATGATTGCAGGTGATATAAGGAAAAAACCTGCTCCTTTTTCCTTATGGGGTACCCAAGAGCCCATATACAGTCCTTTTGTACGTTCTCTATCGGTAGGAGAAAATAACAGAGACCAACCAGAGAATATTAAGAAGCAAAGCAGCTAGTAAGCCTGTTCTTTATTAACTGTTGCAACAGGGTGCTACCCCACACGCAGGAGAGAGGAGGAGGACCCTGAGCCCTGCATGCAAGCCCTTATATAGATATGTAAGCCCTTATATATACATGTAAGCCCTTATATATTTTTAATTGCCCGCCCTGGAGTCCAAGACCACCCCCAGAAACATCATACATACATCACAGAAAAGGCAGTCTACAACAGAAATCTGAGTGCATAGTTTTTACCTTGTCTGCCAGGTTACCTGTTAATGGCCACTTGACTAGATTACCTGGGGAGGCTGGCCATTCTTTTGTAATGATAATACTTCATTCCTGAGCCAGGTCACAGGCTCACCCTATTCACACCTTAAATGTGCCCTTAAGGCAGGATTTGTGAGGACAGAGACAATGGGGAGGTTTCTGCATTTCCTTTTACCTTGTAGAGAAATATTTGAGGTGACTGAAAGAGTGAAAGAGTCAAAATGGCTTTAGGACTTTTCCTGTGGGTTTTTTTGGCGATATAATTTTTTTCTAAAATATTGTTGCCCCACAAATAATAACCTGGTATGTTGCAAATGGATGCCTTCGTGTAAATCTTAAGAGACTTGCATGTCAGGCCTCTTAAGGCTATTTGCAGGTGTAGCAGTGCACATAGCTGGACATAGGATATCACATAAAAAATAACACATGTTGCATTTTGTACTAAATTACTTGTGGCATTCTAGCACTTTGGGAGAAACATTCTCAATAGTGGTCTCTGCTTTACACTTAGCGGGAAGGTCAAATAATGAGTGAAAAATGCAGTTTGTTTTGTTTCTGCCTTTTTTGTGTGTTCCCAGGTGTCAAAGCTAGCTTTCCTCTGGTCTCACACCTCCGTCATATCACAGCAGCAACAATCCCTGGTGAATCCCTGTAGGGCTTTCATATTGACCATGTCACCTTGTAGTGGCACAGGTTTGGACATTTCTTGAGAGAGATGTCTTTGCCTTGGCCTTTCTATGGGATTTTTATTATAATAGGCTCTGGTCTTCCACTCTAGGGAAGTTGCTCAGTTGTTCCTAAGGGACCAAAAAGCTAACTGCAGCCTGGATACAATTGTCCAATTCAAACGGAGTCCAATTAGAATTTATATAGCCCCATGGCTCGCCGACGTGGAGTTCCGGCCCCACCTGGTGGTGGCGGTCGGCCTGGGCCTTGTACGCATCCTTGGCCTGGCGCAGTTGCTCCATCAATAGTTGGTGCTGAGACTGGAGCTCCTGGAGCCAATCTGTCACCCTCGGGACTGCAGATGCTTGCAGCACATCCGGGAACAAACGAGGATGGTAACCGTCCATGGCCTGAAACGGTCTGCTGGGTGGAGGCGTTCAACGTATTGTTGTAAGCAAACTCCTCCAATGCCAAGTGGTCGACCCAGTCTGGAGGTACTCCAGGTTCCGGTGGTCAGTTCTCACATCCACCAGGTGTCTTGCCCCCTCAAGATGATGGCTCCAGACCTCAAAGGTCACCTTGATGGCCAGTAGTTCCCGCTCCCACACGGTATAGTTACACTCTGCCAGAAGAAGCTGGCAGGAATAGTAGGCGCAGAGTAACAGCAGCGCAGCAGGTCCGTGCTGCTGGGACAAGATGGCACCGAGAGCCGTACTGGAGGCGTCGGTCTCCACCACGAAGGGATGAGAGGGATTAGGATGAGATTTCACCCCTCCCATATCCAAGAATCTGCTGATGTTCTCTGCTGATTCTCCAGAGAGGAGGGGCGGTTTCTGCTCTCTACTTATTCCGCTCCAGCCTAACATCAAAGTGTCAGTCAGTATCGGAGAGAGAGAGAGAGAGAGAGAGACTGAGTGTTAGAGAGAGATCGTGTGTATAGATAAGGTTGCTGCTAAGAGCAGCTGTAGACACACTGGGCCAGGGATTTTGGTCATAATATACAATTTGAGGATTGGGAAAAATTATGGAAAGAAAACTTAAAATTCACTGCATGTACGGCGTTAAAGGAAAATGTGATGAAAATGTTCTATAGATGGTATATAACACCAGTAAAATTGGCAAAAATGTTTAAGATGTCTAATAAGTGTTGGAAATGTAAAGAAAAAGAAGGAACGTTTTACCATATGTGGTGGGATTGTAAGAAAGTTAAAAGTTTCTGGGAGATGATATATAACGAGTTGAAAAAGATGTTAAAGTATACATTTGTAAAGAAACCAGAAGCTTTTCTTTTAGGGATTACAGGAAACGAGATAAGAAGAAAAGACTGCAAACTCTTTCAATATGCTGTTACAGCTGCAAGGATTCTACTGGCCCAGAAATGGAAACAAGAGGAAATACCGACGATAGAAGATTGGAGATCAAAACTGACGGACTATGCAGAATTGGACAAGCTAACTGGGAAAATCAGATATCTTAAAGACCAAAAGTTCATCGAAGACTGGGGAAATTTGTAGAATATCTGAAAAATATATGCGATGTGCAAACAACGTTAGTGGGATTTAAAGAAGCATTGTGAAATTTAATAGGTATTGTCAAAAACAATAGATGTGGGAGGGAAGACTAAAGACAATACTAAAGGAGAAGGAATGCGTAATTAAGAGGTACAGATGGATGATTGCCAGAGAAGCTGAAGGAAGTCCAAAAAAGAGAATTTGTTTGTTAAAAATTGGAGAAAATTGTATATTTGTGTTGTAAAATAATATATATATATATATATATATATATATATATATATAGCAGCTGTAGACACTCAGTGCAGTTCAGCATTTTCATTTAGACCTCATTTAGCTCTGTATATAGTTGTGTATTATAGTTGTAGATAGAATAAAGAAGATATTCTACAGAGCTGCTCTCCGAGTCGTTTATGCTCTGCTATACTCTGCTATACTCTGCTGTGCAACGACTGTCTTCTAGAAGTGAATCCGGTGCTCACAACTCTAAGCTGTGAGTCCACAGCACTTTGACCAGTTCCTGTGCAGAAGGTGGTCTCTGGAAGTGCTACCCCAGCTCGCCTGGCCCAGTCGGGGCTGAAGTGGATGAGTCCAGTTGGTGGCACTGGCTCAAGGGCGATGCTGACATAGGATGCTATAAAAGTGGCGCCCTCTGGAGACAGGCTTTCAACCCCTGAAACGCCACCTCTGCCTCCTTGTCCCAGGAGAATGGTGTCTTGGGGCACAGCAGTCGGGTTAACGGGGTGGCGGGATGAGCATAGTCCACAATGAAGGTCCAGTAATAGTTGGCGAACCCCAGGAACCGCTGTAGGTCCTTGCGGTTCTGGGGTGCTGCCCATTCCCGAACTGCTGTCACCTTCCCGGGATCCATCTGCACCCCATCAGTGAAGAGTTGGTGACCGAGGAAGTCCACTGACCGCTGGTGGAACTTTTACTTGCTGAGTTTAGCATACAGGCGTTGCTCCCGCAAGCGCTGCAACATGGACCGGACATGACCCTCGTGGCGAGCTGGGTCATGGGAGTAAATCAGAATGTCATCTAGGTACACCACCACGTACTTGTCTAGCAAGTCCTGGAACACGTGGTTGATGTACTGTTGGAACAGGGAAGGTGCATTGCACAACCCGAAATGAATTACCAGGTATTTGAACTGCCCATACCGGGTCCCAAATGCTGTCTTCCACTCATCCCCGGCTCGGATCCGAATCAAATTGTAGGCCCCCCGAAGGTCCATCTTGGTGAACATCTGCACCCCTTGCACCCGTTCCAGCAACTCTGCAATAAGGGGCAAGGGATACCGGGCTGGGATGGTAATCTTATTCAGGGCCTGGTAATCATGGCAGGGACAAAGCTCCCTACACTTCTTAACGAAGAGAACTGGAGCGGCAGTGGGTGTGGTAGAGGGCCAAATGAACCCGCGCTCCAGGTTCTTGCGAAGGAAGTCCTGCAAGGCTTAGTGCTCTGGCTCCGTAAGAGAGTATAGGCAGCTCACAGGCAGGGTCACTCTGGGCTGGAGGTCTATGCCGCAGTCGAAAGACCAATGAGGCGGCAGCTGGTCTGCCCCCTGTTCCTCAAACACTTCTTGGTAGTCCTGGTAAAAAGCGGGGAGCGTTTACGCAGCTTCCCCTGTGGGGGCGGCTGCTAGCATCCCGAGCATGGGGACACGGGTCTGGGAAGCGCACAGTCTGATTGACCCAGTCGATCTGAACATTGTGAGATTCCAGCCAGTCCATCCCGAGCACCAGGGGAAACCGGGGCATCGTGGCAATGTCCAAGGTGCACACCTCCTGGTGCTGCTGGTGACACAGGACCAAGGGCTGAGTCTCCTGAGTTACAGCCCTCGAGCGCAGGAGCCGTCCGTCAATTGCCTCCACCCGTACCGGTTCTGGCTTGTCCTGGTGTGGCACCTGATGACAGGCGGCAAAGGCAGAGTCCATATAGGAGCGGGTTGCCCCTGAATCTACCAGAGTGTGGGTGAGAATCCAGGGCCCGCCAGGGGAATATAGACGCACCAGAACTATGAGGTGTTGCAATTCCACCGGTGAGGGCCCATCATGTGATGTTTGGGACCCCAGGTAGCCTGGGCCATCGGCTACTAGGGTTGGCCATTTCCCTGTGGCCGGCGTTTTCTTGGGACAGGATTGGGCATAGTGTCCACTCCCGCCGCAGTAGAGACACAGGTTTGCCTCCAGACGCCGAGTCTTCTCCAAGGGGGAGAGGCGAGGCCGTGCTGCCCCAAGCTGCATTGGCTCCTCCAGCGACTTCGCTGTGGCCGTGGAACTGCTGGGAAGGACTGGAGCCGGGAGTGCTGGCCGCTCTGAGCCTGGAGACGGTCCTCCAACCGATCGTCTTATCTGCAGGCTCCGTTGAATGAGGGTGTCCAGCGTGGCGGGGCGATCCATCATGGCCAGCTGGTCCAGTATCTCATCCGAAAGCCCCTCGAGATACTGGTCCTGAAGGTTGCAGTCATTCCAGGACAAGTCCTGTGCAAACAACCAAAATTCTGGGGCGTAGGCGGCCACTGTGGACTTGTCCTGTTTCAACCTCCGAATCGCCCGATTGGCTTGACTCCCCTTCTGAGGGTTGCCGAACGCGGTTTCCAGATGGTTGCAAAACCCTGTATAGTCTGTCAGCAAGGGAGAGTCTTGCTGGAGCAGCGGCAATGCCCACTTGGCCTCCCGGTCCTTCAGCAAGCTGTTCAGGAAGTGCACCTTGGTGCGGCCACCGGGGAAATTCCGGGATCGCCCCTGAATATACAGCTTGGCTTGGGCAAGAAACATGGGAAAGCTGGCCGGGGACCCATTGAATTTCTCTGGCAGGGCCACTGGGTACTTGCCAGAAGCTGGGGCGTCAGCTCCAGGAGCTGGTAACGTGTCCAAACGCTGCTGAAGCGCTGTAACTGCATTGCTTAGCTGCTGAACGGTGTGGGTCAAAACCTGGTTTTCCTGAGCCAATGCCATCAGTGCAGCCGCCTGGTCAGCCATGGCTTCTGGTTCCTCCCGAACGCACCCCAACGAAGGGGGAGTGCAGGTGTGGCGGGAGCAAACTGTGCTGGTCCCGTGGGTTACCCGAGAGGCTAGGTCCAAGTCCGGTCCATGGTGAAAGGTGCAACGTGGAGGCAGTCCGTAGTAGCTGAAGCTGGGTGCAGGGCAGGGAGTTGGGTGAAGTCAGGAACAGGCTTGCAAGCAGGGAGCCAGGGCGGGTCAGGAGCTCAGGCAGGAACTAGCAACCAACAATGTTGCTCCCGCAACTTGGGACTGGGGCTTTCCGGCTTTTATCCTCCCTGAGGCATAGGGCGGCCCCGATCCTCTGGTGACTCGCCTCTCTAACCCTGACCCTCTGCAGCTCAGGAGAGGCTGGATCTTCCTCCAGCAGCTGATCTTCATCCAGCAGCTGAAAGGCAAAAGTCAGGCTGTCAGTTCCTCACAAAGGGAGGGCTTCTCCACTTCCGAGAGGGCAGAGTGGGGGGGCAAGGAGGGCAGGTCTGAGTCCCTGCTCTGGTTCTCTCCAATACTCACGTCTGGGGGAGGGATGTGCAACCGCAGCACATCTGCAAAGAGAAGGACATGGGGACAGGTGAGTCTGTCCCTGAGCACCTGGCAAGGCTATTCCAAGAGTTTTCTCCTGGATTCCAAGTCCTACTGCAGGGGAGGAGGGACATCCCAAGCCTTGGGGGCCAATCCTGGCCTCCTTCAACCAGAATGTGGCTCCCCAGGCCAGGGGTAGGCAAGCTTCTCAATCCGGCCTGCGGACAATTCGGGAATCAGTGTGTTTTTACATGAGTAGAATGTGTCCTTTTATTTAAAATGCCTCCCTGGGTTATTTGTGGGGCATAGGAATTTGTTCATCCCCCCCCCCCAAATATAGTCTGGCCCCCCACATGGTCTGAGGGACGGTGGACCGCCTCATGGCTGAAAAAGGTTGCTGACCCCTGCCCCAGGCTAAGAAGATGGTCAATCTCCGGTTCCACTCCACCCTTTTAAAATTAAAATAACAAAATAGATCCCATCTCTCAGAGCATGTAAACCACATGAGTGAAAAGACCCCTGTGCCACTTACAGAAATAGGACTATACTTCCTTCTACCACTTTTAAAGTAAACGTCTACGTAATGAAACCGAATCGACCAAAGTCTGCCTTCCTCCACTAACCTGAACTTCGCTCTTCAAGCCAAAATACAACACTGCCCTGTCCCCGGGCGAAACCCCCTGGCCTTCCATTGGTAGGGCTGCCACCACGCTAGTGGCGTTTACATCAGCTCAGCATGGGGACTGACTGAGCGGGCAGCGAGATGCTTTCAGCCTCGGACACTTGGCGGGTTCTGAAATGGCCGTGCAGGCCAGATTAACGACCCTGGCGGGCTGGATTTGGCCCAGGGAACATAGATAGAGGACCCCTGGCCTACACTGACTGGCAGCAGCTCCCCAGAGTTTCAGGCAGGGATTTCGTCCAGCCCTTGCAGGAGATATCAGGGGTTGACCCTGGGACATTCTGCATGCCAAGCAGATGCTCTAGGGCTCCCCATATTTCCCTGCACTTTCAATGCTATGCTATTAGCAACTGTGGAGATTCCACCTGCCTCTTTTGAAAGGAGAACACTCACCTGATTAATCATAATCATAATAATAATAATAATTTATACCCCACCCATCTGGCTGGGTTCCCCAGCCACTCTGGGCGGCTTCCAACAAAATATTAAAATACAATTGTCCATCAAATATTAAAAGCTTCCCTAAACATAATAACAACAACCATCCATTTTCAGTCCTTTGAATTAGCAATTAAGCATTTCTGGAAAGGGAAATGGCATAATTTTGTATATTAGTATGAAAAGCATGCATAAGAAATTATTACTCATTTACTCATTTAATTTATTACTCATTATTACTCATTTTGGCAGGGGAAAGGTCTCCCTTGGGAGGTGGTGGACTCTCCTTCCTTGGAGGTCTCTAAGCACAGATCGGACGGCCATCTGCCATGGATGCTTTAGCGGAGATTCCTGCATTGCTGGGGGTTGGACTAGATGACCCTGGGATCCCCTCCTATCTCTCCACTCCTGAATTCTAGGAGGAGCTTCCTTGCCTCCTGCAAAGCCCTTTTCCCTGCAAGCTCTTCCTCTGGTTTCTGGCCAAGGGAGGGAGATGCTCAGAGTCCAGCCAAGAGCCTCACCCCCAAAAGGATATCTGGGCATTGGCGTAGCCAGGGGGGCAGCTGCCCCCCTTAATCCATAAGAAATAATAAAAATCTGAGAGAGGGCTGAGCCGGAGGGACTCGGCTTGACAAGGGTTAAAGGGAAGTGAGCTGCCTTCCTAGAGAGGCCAGGAAGCAAGGGGGGCTGGTCCTCCAGAGCCAAGGCCCCTCCCTCCCAGTCCTTTCCTGCAAGAAAGGGGGGTTTGTTCCTTTGTGTCTCTGCTGCAAGGGCTGCCTCGGTCTCCCCTCCTGGGATCTGGTGAGTCTCCTCTCTCTCTGGGATCTGGTGGGGGTCCCAGGGCTGCAGCAGGGGAGGGGGCCTGGGGGGGGCCTGATCTGCTCCTGCAGGGGGGGGGACCCCAAGTCAGGGAGGAGAGGGTCCTGCCAGGGAGGGGCCAGGTCTGCCACGCTCTCCTTCCTGCAGATCAGAGGATCCCAAACTCATTTGACCCTCCGCCCCCCCTTTCAGAAAAAATCTCCCTTCTTTATACAAAGGAGTCCCTGGGACTTTAACTCTGTGTGATGTCGCTCAGCCTCATTGCACAACAGAGGAAACATCCGCAAATGGTTTTCCAAAGCTGGAGGAGGAGGTGGACACTAGCCCCCCCCCCAAAAAAAAACGGGCAGGAAGGAAGGAAAAGTAGGAAAGAGAGACCAGGAATAAAGAGAGGGATCCCAGCCCCTAGTCTGGCTACTGCATTGCAAACCAGTTTCCCAGTGTCTCCCAGGGCAGCTCCCCACGGAGGCCACTGCAGCAATCCCCTCGCACCCAGAGCATGGCATCCCAGGACCACATCCTCTCTCTGTCCCAAAGGGATTGTTGCTGGAAAACCAGCCAAGCCGGAAATGGGCGCTGCTACTCACCGAGCCTCCAGGGACCTTGGCATCAATGGCTGTGTGTGTGTTAAGCTATCTAACAGATTAATACTACTACTACTTTTAATAAATTACACACCTAAATTAAAAGGAGATGTCTTTGGCCCTGCCCATACCTGGCCCTCAGAGCAAAGAAAAAGGGAGCCCACCCCAGGTGTCTGTCTGGAGAGCGGCAGAGAGTCCAAGTGCAAGAAAAGGAGACAGAAGCAGGGGAGTGGGGGTGGGGGGAGCAACTCCTGAGGACCCCCAGGTGAGGACCCCCACTAGAGCCAAGCATTCATTTATCACGAGATACAAATGACTCCCTTGTCAGTCACTTCTGACTTCATGCATTGACTGGAAGGCAGCAGAAACCAGGATGATTAATCTGACAGAAATCCCTTCAGTTGCCTCCACATTCTGCATTGCTTGAAGGCTAGAGACTTATTTCTTCTCCTCTTCCTCCTCCTCCTCCTCTTTCTTTTCAGAAAGATAGCTCATGGTCTGGGATCTGGTGCAGTCCAGCCCTGGTTCCCAGCAAGACTCATCCATGCTTGCTCATTTCTTTTCCTGTCCTACAGATTCTGTAACAGAACAATGTATTTGCTTTGTAGGATTTCCTAGAGCTTTTCACCTCGACAGACAGAACTTGGCAGAAGACCAAAGGGTTCCTTCCAATCTCTCAGAGGCTTCCTGAGAGCACAGATGGATGAGCAAGACTCAGCTGGTCCTGGAACAGGAAGAGGCCATGCCAGCCAAACTGGGAGCAGTGGGGGATTCTGGGAAAACTCTGTGCAGAAGATCCATGGTGAGGTGGACACCCTCCTCTCAGAGGTGCAGAGCCAGCAGTTGAGGCAGTTCTGCTGCCAGGAGGCCAAAGGAGCCCGAGAGATTGGCAGCCGACTCTACCACTTTTGCCATCAATGGCTGAAACCAGAAAGGCACACGAAAGCTGAGATGCTGGACCTGGTGATCTTGGAGCAGTTCCTGGCTGTCCTTCCCCTGGAGATGGAGAGCTGGGTGAGGGACTGTGGGGCGGAGACCAGTTCCCAGGCGGTGGCCCTGGCCGAAGGTTTCCTCCTGAGTCAGGCAGAGGAGAGAAAGCAGGTGAGATAAAGTGCGAGATTGGCTCCATTATTATCAAATAATGGAGGCATACAAATTGGACAAAAAAGTTGGTTTCCAGGTGGAAAAATCAGAATTGGAAACAGAATTGTTAGATCCAAAAACCAAGAATTTGTTAAGAATGTATAACTTGCTGTTGAAATGGAACACTCAGGATGAAACGGTGAAATCAGCTATGATTAAATGGGCACAAGATGTAGGACATAACATAATGATGGCTGACTGGGAACGGTTATGGACCACAGGTATGAAATTTACGGCATGTAATGCCCTAAGAGAAAATTTAATGAAAATGATTAATAGATGGTACATGACACCAGTTAAGCTTGAAAAAAATCTACCATTTGCCCGATAATAAATGTTGGAAATGTAATGAGACTGAAGGTACATTCTTTCACCTTTGGTGGACGTGCCCAAGGATTAAGGCATTCTGGGAGATGATTTATAATGAAATGAAAAAGGTATTTAAATACACCTTCCTGAAGAAACCAGAGGCCTTTCTCCTGGGCATGGTCGGCCAATTGGTGTTAAAGAAGGATAGAACTTTTTTTATGTACGCAACAACAGCAGCAAGAATACTCATTGCGAAGTATTGGAAGACACAAGATTTACCCACCCGGGAAGAATGGCAGATGAAGTTGGTGGACTATATGGAATTGGCGGAAATGACTGGCAGAATCCGAGACCAGGGAGAAGAGTCGGTGGAAGAAGACTGGAAAAAGTTTAAAGACTATTTACAGAAATACTGTAAAATTAATGAATGTTAGAAAAATGTTGGAATGAAGTTATATGGCTTTAGTAGAAATGTTATAAGGAATTAAGTATAAATAGATTAATAGAGCATTAAAGGGAAAAATAAGGTTAGAATGTGTTAAGACAATTATAGGATAGAAAACAGAGGAAGATGGAAAGGAATTGCTGAAACAATTAATAGAAGTGGAATACAAAAAGGGAGGTGTGAGGAGGTCGTGGAAATTAGTGAAAGAAAGATAAGATATTGAAATTGGACTGTGTTTTAAATGGTTTTTGTTTTGTTTTGTTAGTTGTATGTTAGTGTTTTGCAGTGTTTTTTTTTGTATTGTATTGTTGTATGTTTTTTCTTTTTTGGTTTTCTGTAGTGTTGTGTTCAATTTGTTGGAAAACTAATAAATATTATTATTTTTTTTAAAAAGGGGGAGAAAGCAGGTGAGAGAGACTTTCCTCTGGATACTCCCAAGGGGCTCCAAACAGGACAGAAAACATCCCATAATGGTCTGCTGATGGCCCATCCATTTTCTGGGAAGGCATCCATGAAATGAGATCTCGTACCCTTCAAGTCTTTGTCATTCTCTTTCTAGTATTTCTCCCCATTCTCTGTTTTGAATCCTTGTTTCTTTCTCAGGGAAAGGATCTCTTTGCAGAAATGGACCTGGATTCCTGTGAGGCAGAGAGGCCTCCGTTGGACACCAGAGAGAGGCCACTGGGTAAGGAGGAAGGTGGTTATTCTCCGTTTGGTCTCGTTCTGTTGGTTTTCCAATTCATCTGAGGGTTCTTTTCACCTTGTTTTGGGGAGAGACAGTTGGGAACAAGGGTCCAGAGGAGGGGAGATGTATTTCTGCACAACAAACATAAAATGGGCAGAAACCTCCAAATGCTTTCAGCAGGTAAGGCTTTCTCAAAGGCCCATCTGTAGTTAGAGATGCCCTGTTTCACCTGTGAGAGATACAGGCACTCCTGGTGTCCTTTTTACATTTTTTCTCTTGCAGGTGGCAGAAGGATGCCAGCAAGACTTCCTGATCCATCTTTTCATGGGGGCAGAAGGGAAGCAGCGGCTGTGGAACCAGATCAGGTCAGGGGAAGCTGCCTTGTGGGGACAGAGGCCAAGGGATGGAGCAATGTCATGGACTGGTTGGGCACAGAGGAGTGGTGGGAGGAAGCAGCTGGGGAACCAGGAAGGGAAGATGGCTCAGAGCCCAAGAAGTGGAGGTGGAAGAAGGATGGGCGGTCAGAGGGGAAAGAGAGAGAAGCCTGGGAAGAGGAGGTGTCAGAAGCTGAAGGGGTTACAGGGCTTAGTGAGCTGGGAGACTCTGTGGCAGAATGCAGTGCAGAATCAGAGGCAGAAGAGGAAGGAGGCGAGTGGGAGAGGAAGGTCGAGAGGCAGAGGTGAGTCAGGAGAAGGAGGAGCCACTGGTGGCTCCCTCTCCTTTTGCCAGAAGCCACCCTCCCTGCTTGTCTCTCAGACCCAGGAGACCCCCTGCATTGCAGGAATCTCTGCTAGATCATCCAAGACAGATGGCCATCCAAAAGAGGCTTATTTTATTTCTAGATTGATAACTGAATGCTTCAAAAATCACAGGCGGGTGAAGCCTGTGACCGTGGGACTCGGCGGGCACCGTTTGCGCCCCCCCAATTGGGAAAAGGAGCTCGGCAACAGGCTCCGGAGCGGAGCGGGGAAGTGGCACGGTGCTGTGAGTCAATTGCTTCTTCCGTGGAGCGAAGCCGCGCAGCTGTTACCGGAGAGCACTGCCTTTTTCCTGGGACAATTTGGCTGTATAACAACGATCCGTGAGTAGGCTAACTGCGGAATTAAAGGAACTTTACAAATTTCATGAACAATTTGGCACCGAAGCGGAGAGGCATAAACAGGAAGTCTGCCTTCCGTTCTTGTAAATGGAGTAAAGCAATGAACTTGAAAGCGGAAACCTTAAAAGACGTCGGAAAAGGATTATAATTCGAGCATCGAAACAGTGATTTCCCCCCCTTGATTGCAGGGGAGGAGGGGGGAGAAGGTTTGAACGTTTTTTCCCTGCAAGAAAAGAGAGGAAGAGGAGCTAAAATCCACCGCTTAAAACCCTGGAACGGGTTCCCAGTGACAGTAAGAAAGCCGTACTGAGAATCGCGCTGTGGCTGAAAGTACTTTTTGACAGTTAACTCTGCATCTGAGATACAAGTAAGATACAATATTTCTGACTGGCTTCTCCTGGTTTTAAAGTAACAGGAAACAACTGAGATAGAAACTGTTGTCCTTTTTGTGACTTGGGGGGCAAAAGGGAAAAGTTAATTACTTAAAGACATTTTTGACTGCTACTGTGTCCCCCTAGAGGAAGTTGGAAATTGTTACAACACCAGCTGGGCCAAGGGAACTTTCCATTTCAAAACAACTTTGGCTTTGAGTGTGAGATTGACCTTGGGCTATATCTTGAGGGTTATGGCAGACGGGAAAGAGAAGATAGACTTGTTACAAGCAACGAGGTCTGGCAGAGTATATCGCACAGTGGGCTGCAAATAAGAGCATCGACATCTGGCCCTGCTGGTTTACCAATAGCAACCCCATCGGCACAACCTAAACCTAAAGGTATGGCAGCTGACGATGCCCTGGCTCAGGCACTAGCTAAAATTAATGAATCTTTGGAAAGAATAAGTAAACAAGTAGCCGAGGCATCGGGCAAAATTGATCAAAATACCACAAGTATTAATAATTTGTGACAGAAGGTAAATACTAATACAGAAACTATTCAGAAATTATTACAGGAATCCACCTCGACACGAGAGATAGCCGCAGAGGCAAAGGAAATTGCAACTGTTACAGCCACTGTTGTAGAAGAGAAGATACCACCGTTACACAAACAACTTGAAGACCATAAGTCAATACTGTCTATGATTGAGTTGAAGGAGAAACAAGTGAACCTAAGGGTCAGGGCCGTACCTGAACTGGAGAAAGACAATTTGATTGAATTTCTTACGCAGGAATTTGCAGACTTTTGGAACCCAGATTTGGAGGATAGTTTCAAGATAGTGAGTGCTTTTAGGCTTGGAAAAGGAGGGAGGAAGAACAGGGTGAGAGACTGTTTGATCACCCTCCAAACAAAAGAGGAGAGAGACAAAATCTTGAGTCTGCACTTCCAGAAGACCTTGGAAATACATCACTCAAAAGTGGAGATATTTAAAGATATTCCGAAACATCTTTTGGACCTTAGGTCAAATTATAGAGACTTGGTTGGCCTGCTGAGAAGTAACGGAATTATTTTTAGGTGGGAATTCCCCCAAGGCCTATCCTTCAGTTACAAAGGGAAGAAGATAAAAATAAGATCAGAGGACGACAAAGATAAATTTTGGAGAGACCACGGAGAAGACCTGCAGAAGAAAGTTACAGGAGAGCTAAGAGCACTTGTAAGTGAAACTCTAGACATTCCAGATTTACCTCCTGAACTAAAAGACCGTCTGCAGAAGGTGATACCACCAACAGAACAGGAACAGGCACTGGGTGCAGTTGGAGGAGAAGCAAAGTAACTACATCATGGCTCTGCAACTACTAAGTTGGAATTGTAATGGTTTGAACTCCCCCCGGAAAAGGAGATCTGTGTTTCATTTATTAAAAAAAGGAACAATTGGACTTGATTTGTTTACAAGAGACACATATAACAAGGTTACACAGGAAACTATTGATTAATAAAAGACTTGGTCAGGAGTTTATTTCATCGGACAAGGTTAAAAAAAGAGGGGTAGTGATTTATGCAAAGGAGAGATTATTACCGAAATTTATCTTTAAAGATGACCAAGGAAGATTTGTTGCAATTGAAATTCAAACACAAGGAGAAAAATTTTTGAGAGCCAGTGTGGTGTAGTGGTTAAGAGCGGTAGTCTCCTAATCTGGGGAACCGGGTTTGCGTCTCCGCTCCTCCACATGCAGCTGCTGGGTGACCTTGGGCCAGTCACACTTCTTTGAAGTCTCTCAGCCCCACTCACCTCACAGAGTGTTTGTTGTGGGGGAGGAAGGGAAAGGAGATTGTTAGCCGCTTTGAGACTCCTGAAGGGGAGTGAAAGGCGGGATATCAAATCCAAACTCTTCTTCTTCTTCTTCTGATAGTAGGAGTTTACGCACCAAATGAGGGGAAATCTGATTTTTTTAAAAAGTTGCATGATACCCTGATGGACTATTTGGATTATAATGTGATTTTGATGGGAGACATGAATGGAGTGGTATCTACACATATGGACAAGGCACAAAGACAGGTAGTTACTAAGGATGGTAGACTACCGAAAACTTTTTTTGAGATGACAGACAACTTGGACTTAGTCGATATTTGGAGAACAAAGAACCCCTTGGTTAAGGAAGGAACCTTCTTTTCTGAAGCCAAAATGACATGGACAAGAATTGACCAAATATGGATAACTAGAGGAATGGCACCAAAGACTAGAAAAGTGGAAATCTGCCCAAAAACCTGCTCCGACCATAATGCTGTTAAGATGGAAATGAAACTAACACCAACTGGCTCCTTCAGATGGAGGATGAATGACACCTTATTTAGAGATGAAGAAGTGCTTAAGAAGGCCCAAAAAACCTTGAGAGATTATTTTGAGATAAACATGAGTACCAGTGTGGAAAAAAGAGTAATCTGGGACGCAAGTAAAGCTGTTATGAGAGGGTTCCTGATACAACAGAATGTATTAAAGAAGAGAACCCAAAATGAGAAGAAGGATAAAATTTTGGAGAAAATAAAGGAAAGTGAAAAAAAATTGAGAGTAAAACCAAAGTCGCAAGAGATTTTAAGAAAAAATAAAATTATATCAAGTATATCAAAATTATATCAATTATATGAAAATGATGAATCAGGAGATAGAATGGAAAATTAAACAAATGAGACAAAAGACATTCGAGTCGGCTAATAAATGTGGGAAATTGTTGGCTTGGCAAATGAAAAAAAGACAAAAATACAGTTACAAATTTAGAAGTGGAAGGAAGGAATATACAGAACCCAGCTGAGATTAGAAATTGCTTCCAGAGGTACTTTAAACAACTATATACACAAGGGCCACAGAAAGAAACTGATGTAGATCGATTTTTGAAAACAAATGGATTACAAAAAATCTCTCAAGAAAATAAATTAAAGTTGAATTACAAAATAACTGAACAGGAGATAGAAGGTGCCATTCAGAATATGCAATTGGGTAAATCTCCAGGACCGGATGGACTGACTTCTAGATATTATAGATCTCAAAAAGAATGGTTAGTACAACCTTTGAAAGAGGTCTGTAATGAAATAATGGAGGGGAAAAGGGCACCAGAGTCGTGGAAAGAAGCTTATATCACACTTGTACCGAAAACAGAGACGGAAAAGATGCAGCTTAAGAACTACCGCCCCATATCACTGCTTAATGTGGATTACAAAATTTTTGCAGATATTTTGGCTAAAAGACTAAAAAGAGTGTTAGTGGAAGAGATACATAAGGACCAAGCAGGCTTTCTCCCAGGAATACATCTATCTGATAATGTGAGAAACATAATTAATATTTTCGAAAAATTACAAGAGAACATAAATACTAAGGCAGTTTTAATTTTTGTGGACGCGGAGAAAGCTTTTGACAATATTTCTTGGACTTTTATGAAAAAAAACTTACAGGGTATGGGGGTAGGCCAAGGTTTTGAAAATGGTATAAGTGCAATATATTCTGAACAAAAGGCTAAATTAATTGTAAATAATGTGGTGACGGAAGAATTTAAGATAGAAAAAGGGACACAACAAGGCTGCCCAATCTCCCCACTGCTTTTTATATCGGTCCTGGAGGTTCTGCTGAATATGATAAGAAGGGACCAGTTGGTTAAAGGTATACAGGTCGGAGCCAAACAGTACAAATTGAGAGCATTTGCAGATGACTTAGTATTGACGTTACAGGAGCCAGAATCTAGTACTAAAAGGGTTTTAGAACTGATTCAAGAATTTGGTCAGGTTGCAGGGTTTAAACTGAATAAGTCAAAAACCAAGGTTTTAGAGAAAAATTTAACACTAACTGAGAGAGAGAGGTTTCAGAATGAGACAGGTTTAACAGTGGTCAAGAAAGTTAAATACTTGGGGATTAATATGACAGCAAAAAATGGGAATTTATTTAAAGACAATTATGAAAAATGCTGGGCTGAAGTGAAAAAAGATTTAGAAATTTGGTCAAATTTGAAGCTTTCACTACTAGGCCGTATTGCTGCGATAAAAATGAATGTATTGCCTAGAATGTTGTTTTTGTTTCAAACATTGCAAATTGTGGACAAAATGGACTGTTTCAAGAAGTGGCAGAGAGATATTTCTAGATTTGTCTGGCAGGGCAAGAAGCCTAGAATAAAATTTAAAATACTAACAGATGCAAAGGAAAGAGGTGGATTTGCCCTGCCAGACTTTAAACTTTACTATGAATCAGCAGCTTTTTGCTGGTTGAAAGAATGGCTGCTTCTTGAAAACGCAGACATTTTGGATTTAGAAGGTTTTAACAACGTATTTGGATGGCATGCATATTTGTGGTATGATAAGGTCAAAGCGCATAAAGCATTTAAAAACCATATTGTCAGGAAAGCACTGTTTAATGTCTGGATAAGATATAAGGACTTATTGGAAAATAAAACTCCAAGGTGGCTGTCACCGATGGAAGCGAAAGCTCAGAAAAAACTCAATATGGAGGTCAAATGGCCGAAATATTGGAAATTTTGAAACAGTATGGAGATAGGCTGAAATTGCAGAGTTTTGAAAAACTAAAAAACAAAGTGCGAGACTGGCTTCATTATTATCAGATAATGGAGGCATACAATTTGGACAAGAAAATCGGCTTCCAGGTGGAAAAATCAAAATTAGAAACAGAATTGTTAGAACCCAAAACTAAGATTTTGTCAAAGATGTATAACTTGCTGTTGAAATGGAATACTCAGGATGAAACGGTGAAATCTGCTATGATTAAATGGGCACAAGATGTTGGACATAACATAATGATGGCTGACTGGGAACAGTTATGGACCACAGGTATGAAGTTTACGGCATGCAATGCCTTAAGAGAGAATATTATGAAAATGATATACAGGTGGTACATGACCCCAGTCAAGCTTGCAAAAATCTATCATTTGCCCGATAATAAATGTTGGACATGTAAAGAAACTGAAGGTACATTCTTTCACCTTTGGTGGACGTGCCCAAGGATTAAGGCTTTCTGGGAGATAATTTATAAGGAATTGAAAAAGGTATTTAAATATACCTTCTTGAAGAAACCAGAGGCCTTTCTCCTGGGCATAGTCGGCCAATCGGTGTTAAAGAAGGATAGAACTTTCTTTATGTATGCCACAACAGCAGCAAGAATACTTATTGCAAAGTATTGGAAGACACAAGACCTACCCACTCTGGAAGAATGGCAGATGAAGGTGATGGACTACATGGAATTGGCGGAAATGACTGGTAGAATCCGAGACCAGGGAGAAGAGTCGGTGGAAGAAGATTGGAAGAAATTTAAAGACTATTTACAGAAATATTGCAAAATTAATGAATGTTAGAATGATGCTGGATTGAAGTTAAGTGGTTTCTAGCTGTATTGGTATAAAAGAATATGAAAAGAATTGGATTTTTAACAGGTAAATTAATGTTATAATATACTAAGATTAAAGATCAGGATAAAATAAGGAGGGAAAGGAATTGCTGAACTAATAAATTGAACTGGAATACAAAAAGGGGAGGTATGAGGAGGTCCAGGAAACAAGTAAATGAAAGATAAGTGATGAAAAGTTTGAATTGTTTTTAACTATTTTTATTTTGTATTTTTTCTTTTTCTTTTTCATTTTGTAATATTGTAAAAATCTTAATAAATATTTATTAAAAAAAAGAGAGAAACCCTATCAGTGTGTGGAATGTGGAAAGAACTTCAATCAGAAATACAGTCTCACTTCCCATAAAAGAATCCATACAAAGGTTGGAAAAAACATTATACAGCTTTTGGAGCCTGGCAAATCCGCATCTTTATAACCAGGCCTTTAGCTGATTGACATCTACTGCCCTTTTAACGTGGTTTTTTTGTGTTTTTATGTTGTAACATTCCTCAGACCTGTGGGTGTAGGGAATAGGTGCCAACTATTAAAGGCCTGGGGGCCTTCCCCCCCCAATAAAATATTTGAGGAGAACTTCCAGTTGGCCGCCCGATTTATGGCGGACGGGAGCTCTTTCGCCTGAAAGAGCCCCGGCGCTTTGAAGATTGGGTTGACCATGAGAGCGTTGCGGAACCTCGAAAAATACCTGAGATTGAGCATTCTGAGAAACTGGTGTTCCGGCGGGTACCCTTAGCAACTCCCCTGCTCCCCAGTAAGCGCTAGTAAGAGCTCTGAGAGCGAGCGGGATTGGAGACGGTACTGTGGGATCGACTCGCTTCCTTCATTGCGCGAAGCTCCAAAGCCCGGTGATCGTGAGCGACCAATTTCTCGGACTAAATTAAGATTGGAAAACTGTGAGTAAAAAGGATTTGCATTTGGACATTAAATTGGACTGGAAGGGATTTAAACACAGAGGTCGATCCCTTTCCGCTGAAGAGAAAGTGAAAGCAGTTACCACTGACCGAAGCCGTAACTTTAAAAGACGTGCTAAAAACTTTCAAGGAAATATTCCAAGCCCCTCTTTCTGCAGGGGGAAGGGGGGAGAATTTGACTGAATTGGGACCCTGCATGAGATAGATTTGACAGAGAATAGACTCTTGCTGGACTATATGGAATTGGCGGAAATGACTGGCAGAATCCGAGACCAGGGAGAAGAGTCGGTGGAAGAAGATTGGAAGAAATTTAAAGACTATTTACAGAAATATTGCAAAATTAACGAATGTTAGAATGAAGTTGGATTGAAGTTAAGTGGTTTCTAGCTGTAATGGTATAAAAGAATATGAAAGAATTGGATTTTTAACAGGTAAAAATTTAATGCTATAATATATTAAGATTAAGGATCAGGATAAAATAAGGAGGGAAAGGAATTGCTGAACTAATAAATTGAACTGGAAAATAAAAAAAGGCGGTATGAGGAGGTCCGGGAAACAAGCAAATGAAAGATAAGTGACAAAAAGCTGGAATTGTTTTTAACTGTTTTTTGTTTTTTATTTTTTCTTTTTTCTTTTTCATTATGTAATATTGTGAAAACTTTAATAAATATTAAAAAAAAGAAAAAAAAGAGAGAGAATAGACTCTTGCTTTCTGGAAGCGGACCTCCCAGTGAGGAAAGGCTAGACTCCATTATTACGTCACAAAGGGAGAGGATACTTTCAACTTTGTTTTCCTCTTTGGGGATTACAAAGTAACTGCAGCTGTCTGAACTCGCTGAAACATTGTACAGTGTATCTTTTACCCTCCTGGAATTGTTTAGAATAGTTCAAATCAATTTTGGATGCTTTTCAACAGGAATAAGAAGAGTAAAAGATTGGCGATAGGCGAAGGGGATCGAGATACGGATATGCTCGTACCCTTTCCAATCTGTGCCCCATCCCAAGGGACGAGGATAGGGTGAGCAAGGATTACTCACCTCCGTCACTGGTGTTGTGCAATGCCAGGTCTATAGGCAAGAAAACCGCCACTCTGTGAGATTTCTTTACCTCGCAGGGGGTCGACCTGGCTTGTGTGATGGAGACCTGGGTGCGCGAAGGGGAAACTGTTACCTTACGAGAGATGGCGACCCGGGTTTCTCCATCCTCCACCAGTCACGGACTGTGGGCCCAGGGGGAGGAGTGGCATTATTAATCCGGGAAGATTGTTCTTTCAGGGCTCTACCATCGCCATCGATCCCCGGCATTGAATGTGTTGGCCTAGTGTGGGGCTCTGAGGTGAGCTTGGCTGTCTGGCTGGTGTACCGGCCACCTAGCGCACCAGCAGCCACCCTGTCAGGCCTGCTGGAGGCGGTGGCCGGCTGGGCCTTGGAGTTCCCTAACCTATTGGTATTGGGGGACTTCAACATCCATGCTGATGCCACTCCCTCCTCACAGGCTCTGGACCTGGTGTCTTCCATGGCGACACTAGGGCTCTCCCAGTTTCTTTCAGGCCCCACACATCAAGCAGGCCACACGCTGGATTTGATCTTTGGCGTAGGTATAGATGTGATCATGTCTCCTTCAATGAAGGTGCCATGGTCTGATCACTACGCTCTGAAAGCCAGGATTGACTTTCCACCCCCACCCTGCTTAGGTGGCGAGCCGATTTGGGCTCGCCCGCAGAGGCTGATGGACCCTGATAGATTCCATCAAGCCTTGCGGGACCTTGCTCCCCCTGGCAACTCATTGACTGAGCTTGTTGAGGGCTGGAATATCCAGCTCTTGGCAGCCATCGATGAGATCGCACCTAAGCGCCCTCTGCGACCCCGCAGAAACCGGGCTCCCTGGTTTACCGAGGAGCTCCGGAAAATGAAGCGGGACCTCAGACGGCTAGAGCGAGTATGGCGGGGTGCCCGTGACGGAGCCTCAAGAACATCTTATAGGGTTTTTATGAAAACCTATAAGATGGCAGTGAAGGCCGCTAAGAAGTTTTACTTCTCGGCCTCCATTGCATCCGCTAGCTCTCGCCCGGCGCAATTATTTAGTATAATTAGGTCTTTAACGTCCCTTGAAGGACAGCCAAATTTAAATAAGAATCTGACACGGCTGTGAGGCATTTGTGAGCTTTTTTGGGGAGAAGGTCCTGTTGCTCCGCCATGACCTCCCTGCCAATTTGGATACAGTAAAGGAACTGGAGGCCCCTCGACTGTCCTCTGGTCCAGTATTGGACCACTTTGACCGGATATCCCCAGCCGATGTGGACAGACTCCTCCGAGCTGGAAAGCCCACCACCTGTCCTCTTGACCCGTGCCCGTCTTGGCTGATTAGAGTGTGTCCAGATGAGGTGCGGGCCCCCCTGGGGGATATCATAAATTTGTCCCTTGGCACCGGGATATACCCAGGGGAACTGAAGGAGGCAGTGGTGCGCCCGCTCTTAAAGAAAACATCATTAGATCCCTTAGATCTATCCAATTACCGCCTGGTTTCGAATCTTCCATTCCTGGGTAAGGTGATTGAGAGAGTGGTTGCTGAACAGCTTGGTAGGTTTCTGGATGAAACATCAGCTCTGGATCCATTCCAGTCCGGCTTCCGCGCTGGTCATGGGACCGAGACAGCTCTGGTCGCCCTAACAGATGATCTCTGCAGGCAGCTGGATCGAGGCGGGTCAGGGCTGCTGATTCTTCTAGACCTGTCAGCAGCCTTCGACATGGTCGATCACGAACTCCTGGACCACCGCCTTGCCAACTTGGGGATCCAGGGCACAGTCCTTCAATGGCTGCGCTCGTTTCTCTCTGGTCGGGAACAGAGGGTGGCGCTTGGGGGGGAATTGTCATCGCGCCACTCCTTGGCGTGTGGAGTGCCTCAGGGTGCGATACTCTCCCCGATGCTTTTTAACATCTTTATGCGCCCCCTCGCCCAGCTTGTCCGGAGTTTTGGGCTGGGTTACCATCAGTATGCCGATGACACCCAACTCTATCTGTTGATGGATGGCCATCCTGACTCGGCCCCAGACACACTGACCAGATGTTTGGAAGCTGTGGCTGGATGGTTACGTGGGAGCCGGTTGAAGTTAAATCCTTCGAAGACAGAGGTCATCTGGCTGGAACGGGACAATATGGGATTGAGGGGGCAACTCCCATCTCTTGCGGGGGTGCAATTAGTGCCAGCACCATCCGTTAAGAGTTTGGGTGTAATCTTCGATACCTCCCTTTCCATGGAGGCGCAGATTACAGCTATAACAAAGGCGGCATTTTTTCATCTCCGCCAAGCTAAGCAGTTGGCCCCTTATCTCTCTCGCCCTGACCTAGCCACTGTGATCCACGCGATGGTCACCTCCAGACTGAATTATTGTAACTCACTCTACGTGGGGCTGCCCTTGAGACTGACCCAGAAACTCCAGCGGGTGCAGAATGCTGCAGCGAGACTCCTTACGGGGTCCTCGCTGCAAGATCACATTCACCCGGTGCTATACCAGCTGCACTGGCTCCCGGTGGAGTACAGGATCAGGTTTAAGGTGCTGGTTTTAACCTTTAAAGCCCTATACAGCCTAGGACCCTCGTACCTATGGGACCGCCTCTCCTGGTATGCCCCACAGAGGAACCTACGGTCTGCAAATAAAAACATCCTGAAGGTCCCAGGCCTCAGAGAGGTTAGGCTGGCCTCAACTAGAGCCAGGGCTTTCTCGGCTGTGGCTCCAATCTGGTGGAACGCTCTGTCACAAGAGACTAGGGCCCTGCGGGACCTGACATCTTTCCGCAGGGCCTGCAAGACAGAGTTGTTCCACCAGGCCTTTGGTCAGGGCGCAGCCTGACTCCCTCCTCTGGCAACCTGCACAGAATTTTGCTTAACGGTTGCCATTAATTTGATTTTAATTAATGTTTATAATGAAATGTTTTTAGAATGTTGGATTATTTGATTGTTTGATTATTTGATTGTTGTTAGCCGCCCTGAGCCCGGCTTCGGGTGGGGAGGGCGGGATATAAATAAAATTTATTATTATTTGTCAGAGCTGCTTCCAGATCCTAGCTCACAGAGGATCACGCTAGCCAGCGATCATTAAACAAAAGTCTTTATTGAGTTACAGTTTCCATTCTCAAGCTGCTGCGTGCAACTCTACGTCTCATGCTTAGACCGGCGAAGCTCCGTCTGAGTCTCCGCCCTTTGTACACCAACTTAATATCCTAGCCCTGCTCCACCTTTTCCGCCTGACTGTTCTTCTCTGGGTC